ATGTTCAATCCTGATTTTCAAAAACATAATAAAATAATTGGAATATGTCAATTCACTTTTGGACATTTTTAGACACGGGTCTGGAGGCTGCGGACATGAACATCAGAATCAATCCAAAAGCAATAATTACCAGTCTGCGCCCTTGCCAATAACCAACCATATAGACTGGACACAAAAGCAACAAAAACAAAAAACACAAAAAAATGCATGGAATACCAAAAAATCGATAGGATATTTCTTCAAACCAGGTAGATAGAATATTTAAAACCTGTGAAGAAACCTGTGTAAAAAACGATATTTGATTTGACGCTTAAATCCTTTAAAACCAGCCTCCGCAGGCGGTTTTTCCCAATCATCATCTACTAGTCATCGGCGCCCCGACTCCTCCTGCAGAGATCACACCTGGTAGCAGGTGCCCATGGCAAATTCATGGGGGTACAGTGGGGATATCATGGCGATATAACGACAATATATAATATAACGACAATATATAATATATTTTCAGATAATATAATATAATATATTTTGAAATAATATATAATATGATATACTACACTACAATACAATACAATACGATACAATATAAGATAATATACTTTAATACAATATCATATATAATATATAACATAATATATTGTAATATAAAAGAAATATACTATAATAAAATAAGATATAATAACATAAAATACAATATAGTATGAAATAATATAATGTAATATAATATAATGAAATATAATAAAATAATATAATATCATAGAATAATTTATTATAGTTTATGTATTATATTTAAAGAAAAATGTGATGTGATATGATATGATATGGCATGATATGACATGGCATAATATGACATAACATAACTTAACATAGCATAACATACCATCAATATAATATAATATGATATAATATAATAATATAAATATAATATAACATGATATAATATAATATAAATATAATAAAATATAATATAATATAATATAATAATATAAAACAATATAATAAAATAAAATATAACATAATATAATATAATATAGTATAGTATAATATAATATAATATAATATAGCATCATACGCTATACTATAATATACTATTATATAATATAATTGTAACATAATATTCATATAATACTAAAAGAAAACTAAAATAATATTGATGTAACCCACAGTTAATATTAATATAAACTACTATATTCTACAATATATTTAATTATAATATCAAGAAAATATTAATACAGCAAGACCCTGCGGTTTGCCCAGACTCTCAGTGTTCTGCAAGCTTGTAGCTGGCTGGGCGTTCAACATTAAACCCTAAACACTAAACCTCATAACACCCTAATGGCATTATTGTTCCATGGAGGTGGGTGATTTTGATTCTTCTTCAACGAGCACCTGGACAATGCTGATGATGGTGGTGATGGTGATCATTATCATGGTTAACCCTAAACCCCAAACCCTAAACACTAAACTCTAACCTCATGTAACCCCTGCTCGCATTACTGTATTGTTCCACTCGTAGAACATGTCTGATAATATAGTGTAACTGGTATTCGGGGGTTGGGCAAACCTCGGGGTCTGCAGTCTGAGTGTATTAATATAATATAAACATAATAGTAATATATTATTAATATAACACTAATATATTAAATATCATTGATACAATATCACGACATTATCAACATAATATTCATATAACATTAATATATATAGTATTAATGCAAGATTGATACAACATTAATATAATATTGATATCGTATTAATATTATATTAACATAATATAAACATAATATAAACATACTGTAAGATAACATCACTATATGACATTAATATGTCAATATCCATGTTAGTTGTGGCGTATCATTTGAATATGATGAGGATGTTTCATGGGATATCAAACCAACAAGAAACAAGTTGGCTTGGTCCAGAACTTCCCCATAATTGCAATGTTAGTTAGATCCGGAAAATGTTGATAGAACCTTTGGTTTACTGGTACCCTTTAGGTACCTATTCTTGGACAAAGAACCCTGCCTTATGTTGGGTGAAGCCAAAAAGGCAAGGGCAAAGGCATGGGAAAACTGGTAAAGCCATGGTCGGATGCTAAAGGAATGGTCGGAGACCTCCCCGTTTTTATTGGTGCTATCCCCCGTCCCAGTTTCGTATTGATCTGTGGCCTTCAAAAAACCGGCCACCCCAAGCCTTGGAACTTTGAGGACCACTTTCGTGGCTGCAATGGCAGCTTTAAAATGGACAAGAACATCAAAGACATGTTAATGATGGTTGATTATTAACTGTTATTAACCATTATTATCCATTACTAACCATTATTAACCATTATTAATTACTATACATAAACTCAAGTTCGCCTGAGCTGATGAACATCACAGCAAACTGGTGATCTAAACACCGATCATCGATCCTTTTTCTATGATGAAACCTGCCCTGGGCCCTGAGTGATGCACCCATGAAGCAGTTCTGCTTCACGCAAAAGGTCTGGTCCATGTTCAGTGTCAATTCCTGAGGGACCGCTTTGCCAATGCAGGATTGGTCAAAATGGGCACCCAACAATGGGATTCAGCAATACAGGGTGACCATGCCCAAAAAACTGGAAAGCCGTTCTCAGCTGTTCCTTGGTGCTTGTCAAATGCTTCATCTGTTTCGGGGGTGCTTCCAAAAGTCTAGGCTAGGGGCTTGGCTTTACATCTTGCTTCGTCTGACCCTCACAACTCATTCAGAAGCATTCTGGCGGTGAAGAATCCGTTTGTTCCTGCAGGCTCACACAGGATCTTGTGACCTCCAGCTGAATAATGCTTGATACATCAGGTTGATATGTCCTTCTTTGCTCGGGCTTTCCCAATTACTTCATACGACCAACTTGCAACCTGCCACCGAATGCTGCAGGGCTCAGAATTCAGCGCCTTCCCCGGATCAGGGCCCAGACTGACAGACGCAGGCGACCGCCCTTGTATGCCCAGTCAATCACGGCTTTGCCTGGCAGCGCGTCAATATCGCCGAGCTATCTGTGAGTTGGTGACTTCTTCGTGCCCCAGCTAGGCTGCGACCCGGGGAACCCTAAATTGCAAGTATGCTAGGCAGTAATTTAGCCAACCAGTAGGATGTAGTTCATTACAACTATCCAGCTGCGGATGCTGCAATGTTCAAACAGTCCCGTGTAAGCATTCGTCAGGCTCGTCATCGAAGGGACAGGAAAGAACAGATTGTTTGAAACCACAAACCGGTGGATTCGATCAGATTGAATCAAATCTTATTGCCTATCATCATTCTTATATATATATATTTTTTTACCATGTTTCTTGTTTTTCATTATGTATATATAGTATATCATTGCTGTGTATAACCCCATCTTGCTGGCATCCCTGCTGGATTTGGGGTCTCTCAGGTTGACAGGTTGGTTCTCGCAGCGGATTGTGATACGGTTATGCCTGGCAACCAGCTAGTATAAACCTATACAATGACCATCAAATATTGACCTGCAGTACTTGGATGTACTTAGTAATCATTGCTGCTTTAAATCTCTACATATGTATATGTATATGTATGTATGTATGTATGTATGTATGTATGTATGTATGTATGTATGTATGTATGTATGTATGTATGTATGTATGTATGTATGTATGTATGTATGTATGTTTTTTTGTTGCTGAATAATCAATCTGATCTCATTTATTGCGTTTAAGTCACGATTCTTCGTTGCTATGCCTGTCACGACCAACACCAGGCACGGCCCCCCGTGCCCAGGGCACCGTCGACTTGTGGAGCATACTGCAGGCAGGACCGGATCGGGATGATCATCCATCATTTTGGGGGCCTTTACTACATTGCTACTGTACATATACTGTATATTACTGTATATATAACTATACTTGCAAGTGTATTTTTTGGGTACAACCATTGTCAAGATCATTCTATAGAAGGCTATGTTTCCTATATATATATATAACAATAATTTATAGTATTTGTATGTTATTGTTCGAATACATACATTACATATATATATATATCAATATCTATATACATATATATTTATACTATTATGTATATATATATGTATATTACTATCTATATATTACTATCTCTACATATTACTGTATTTATAGATATACCTCAAATGGAGAATGGTCATCCATGCACTGTTGGAAAGTCATTCTACTAGCCTACATAGCGTACGTTCCAACAGTTCTAATCTCCTCCCACTAGTAACAAGCCCCCCAGGAGCCAAAGTGTACAACGAACCAGCATGGGGTACTGGGCCTGGGAGCAAAACCATGGATATGTCAGTCGAGACCTAAAAGCCACCTAACTGAGATGAACATCCCAAAAGTTTCTTCTATATACATATGTATATATATATATATTTGCATGCTACATAAATGTGTATGTGTGTATAACATTTATATATATATATATATAGCATACCATACATGGATGCGTATGTGTATATATATATACACATATGATGCCATATGCATTCATTCTTGACCAAGAGGTTTTAACAATTTCTAACCCATCACCACATCGAATCCTTGGAACCCTCGTCCTGAGTCTTGGGGCATTTCTCATCTGTCGCAGCATCGGCTTGCAGCTGCCTACCGAGTACAAGCTGGGCGAGCTGGTTTGGACCCAAGGTTTGGACCCAAGCCGAGAGACCAGTGGCAACCAACTAAAATGGGACTATAACCAAGAATGAGAGAAAGATGCGGACTGAGGAAAAAGAAAAAAACTACAAAAATGGAATCCAAATTAATTGAAACAATGAAATGGACATTCAAAAAACATATGTTTTTATTCCCCGGGCCAAAAACTGTCCGAAAGCTATTTGTTCAAAGTTTCATATCTTAACCCATCGCCACATCTCATCAGTTAAAGCTATGTTCCACCACCAAAGTGGAATCTTGGCGCAGAAAAAAAATGCTGGCCAACCGCCAACCCATAGAATCTCTAAAAAAAAACCTCAAACCACCACACAATCACCATAAATTCACCATTTTCCCACGAGTTCTCCGCTCTCGCCATCCTTTGGGCGCTTAGCAGACCACCTCGGGCGGCTCACAACGCTCCACCACAGGGCCACCGGGCACGCAGGGCTCTGCGCTCCTGGAAATGCGAAATTTCACTCCAAAATTGTGATTTTGATGGGGATTTCTCTAAAATACACACCTTTCTCACCGGGGTCACCACAGTTTCAGTGCCATATATGGATTGTTTGACACCCCCTAAATAGGTGGTTTTTTTTCGGGGTTTGTCTGACAATTGGGTACCTCCACTTATGGCCATTTTAAGAGGGGAACATGAGGTTCCAAAAAAATCAAGGACCCAAGGATTCCCCTAAATTTTCATACAAACCCATATATCAATCCCATGGCGTCCTCTGACGAACGTACTTCAGCACTTCTCGACAATCACTGGTTCCTGACATGGGCGAAGAATGCCCCAAAATGGTTGGCCCAGAAAGCCATTCAGAACGGCATATATTCTGTTTGTGTATATTATATACATATATTATGTACTATAGACTCTATATATATATTGCACAACGATAGAAAATCGTTGACGTTGATTTCCATTCCAGCATGTGGGTGTCTCCAGCCCTCTGACACTGCAACCTGGCAGTTTGGCTTCGTCAGAAAGGTCGCTTGGTCATGGCAACCCAGAAATTGAGATGATGTAGATATAGATATAGACATAGATATAGATATATGTATATGTACATGTATCTGTTTGTACTGTATGTGCAACATGCTGGAGAAGTTGTTCTATCAATTTGGGAATTCATGGAATTCCTATCTACAGTATTATATTATGAGTCAAAACTGAGGCACCACAAATTCAGTCATGTGTCGTAAACATCCAACGTTTGGGGTCCAATACCTCTGATACATTCCATACCCGCATGTGTTTGTCCGAAAATATGCGTGTAATTACCCCAATGTATGGCAATTTGTTGATTGTATCATTATGTGTGTATAATATATGTATATATATATATATGTAAAATGGTTGGTCTATTGTCAATGTGCTTGGTTATATCATTATATCCCAATAATCAAGGGAACGCCCCAGATATGTTCAGGTGGTACAATGCGTAAATACAGAGCCAAAATATTATCAAAATCTGGTAAGATATGAAAAAATGTGATCAAATATGATCAACTATGGTAAAATGAACTATTTTTCGCCCAATATATGATGATTAAACGGGACATCTCGCCCTGAGCATGGTCATCACATCCCCCAATTTGCTGGCCTTCGCGTTCCAGCCCGAAGGTCTGCAGCATAGCATCCCAGTCCTGGCATAAATGGGGGTACCCCTTTATCGCTGGATGGTTTATTTCATGGAAAATCCTCAAAATGAAATAGATGATTCATAAAGGGTACCCCCATGATTTAGGAAACCTCCTTAAATGTAGAATGGCAGTATCACTCAGAAAAAATCCCGATGATTCTTCCCCAGGGTGATAAACAAACTGATTCATGACATGGCCGCCATGTCAACGCACCTTGCTGCGGCCGGCAAAGTGGTACAACAAGGCAGGATCCTCAGCGCTGCGGGGGCGAAGTTGATTGGCGGCCTCAAAAAGTGATGCTGCTGACGATGAGTATTATTATCATTATATAATACTAATGTTACGATTACTATTAGTACTAGTATAACTATTATTATTAGTAGTAGTATTATGATTGCAATTACCACTATTACTCTTATTATTACCATTATTACTAGTATTGCTAGGTGGATCCATCCAGCAACCCGGTGTCATCAAATCTGGCCGGCTTGGAACTCCCCGATAAATGGAAGTCTACAGCTGCGAAAAATCGAAGTAAATTTGGGGGATTGTCCAGCCTGCCATGATCATTTAAGTTTCTGGCATTTAAAAGCCCCTACTGGAAAGATTTGGTGTGGCTTGTTTTGGTGTTTACCACAGGCCCCTGTTACAACATATTACAACAATTCTGCAGAAGCCCCCCCCCCTGTTGATTCCCAGGAACCGACAAACCCCGGGCGCCCACGACGTGGTTCACGTCGTACTGTCGGGGATCTAAGAACCTGCGACCAGTGATATGGACAAGAGATGACAAGGACCCCTTGTAATCCACAATGATTGAGAAGGGGTTGCTCCTCATGCCCCCAAAAACTGTGATTTGGGTGTGGGTTTTTTGAAACCCCTTCGCTGTGGCCATTACAGTATATACTATACTGTATTTGGGGGGTGAACATCCATAAATCACAGCGTTTTTGGAGTTCACCAAGGTTTTGGCTCATAGCCTGAAGCTACTCCACTGTTGAAATGATCAACCTGAACTGCCAGTATCTACAGGGGATCTCAATGTATGACTATCCTACCTCCATATTACTAAATCATCTACTAATGATCTAGATCTATTCTAATGCTGTAAACCCAACAATAAACCAAGTTTATCTTGACAACCTACCCTTAAAATGCATAATTGTTGCCGTTTACAGTTTCATAAGACAGAAATTGCCAATAATATTTGCCTAGGGTATACTAACATAGATGTGGAAAACCAATGGTGTCAAAAGAAAAGTGATCTACTTTCATAGTAAATTTTCTAGATCTGTGTTAGTTTACAGGAGGATACCACATTCTCATCTCCCCATCCCATCCCTGGCCTGATGACTTGGGAGCGTCGTTCTCCAAAGGGCCCACTGAGGCTTTCAGTGGTGCGCCACCAACACATGGCATAGCGCGCCAAGTCATGGTGCCTAGTTAGAGCTGGCAAGGATATATCAACTGTTTGTTGGGTTCAGTTGAATGGGATATAATGATATCATGGGTACAGTGGGGATTAAATGGGATGTTTCCGTGACTGGATTAATTGGATAGGTTTGTATAATGGGAATAGGATTATATAACATGATGTCGCACTGGTTTTACCAACAAAAACAATGACTGCTATCGATTATTATGGGAATATGATGGGGGGGTACTGGGGACGTGGGAATAACCATACTTGGGCGGTTACCGATGGGGGGTTTCATCAACCAAGAGTGGTGGTATACGGATTAATATATAATGGGACATATACATTTCCGCCTCCTGTGGATATGATTTACGTCTACTGTGATGGAACAATCCTGTATAATGGGATATTATACAATTATATACATATACATATGCATGCATGCATGCATGCATGCATGCATGCGTGCGTGCGTGCGTGCGTGCGTGCGTGCGTATGTATGTATGTATGTGTGCATGCATGCATGCATGCATGCATGTGTTTGTATGTATGTATGTATGTATGTCTGTATGTATGTATGTATGTATGTACGTATGTACGTAGGTATCTACGTAGGTATGTATGTATGTATGTACGTAGGTATCTACGTAGGTATGTATGTATGTATGTATGTATGTAGGTATGTAGGTATGTAGGTATGTAGGTATGTAGGTATGTAGGTATGTAGGTATGTATGTATGTATGTATGTACGTAGGTATGTATGTATGTATGTATGTATGTAGGTATGTAGGTATGTAGGTATGTAGGTATGTAGGTATGTAGGTATGTACGTAGGTATGTACGTAGGTATGTACGTAGGTATGTACGTAGGTATGTACGTAGGTATGTACGTAGGTATGTACGTAGGTATGTACGTAGGTATGTACGTAGGTAGTTACGTAGGTATGTACGTAGGTAGGTATGTATGTATGTATGTATGCAATGGTATGGTATGATATGGTATGGTATGGTATCGTATGGTATCGTATGGTATCGTATGGTATCGTATGGTATCGTATGGTGTGGTATGGTGTGGTATTATGGTGTGGTATTATGGTGTATGTTATGGTATATGGTATGGTATATGGTATGGTATGTGGTATGGTATATGGTATCGTATATGGTATGGTATATGGTAAGGTATATGGTATGGTATATGGTATGGTATATGGTATGGTATATGGTATGGTATATGGTATGGTATCGTATGGTATATGGTAAGGTATATGGTAAGGTACATGGTAAGGTATATGGGATGGTCTATGGGATGGTCTATGGGATGGTCTATGGGATGGTCTATGGGATGGTCTATGGCATGGCATGGCATGGCATGGCATGCATGCATGCATGCATGTATGTATGTATGTATGTGTATACATATATATATATATTGTATATACATAACCAACATGATATTTGGGGGAGAGGTGAATGAAGGTTAAGATGGAGGGATTCCAGCAACAGCTAGAGATGGGAGGATTAGAAATCTTCCAAATGGGAACCCTGCCACGATTGCCCCCTATCAGTTCGAAGTGGTTTTGTAATTCCATTGAACTGGTCGATAACCCCCGTTGGGGCTACACCTATAACCTCATTTCTGAGAATAAAGTAAAATATTACGAGGCAATCACATGGTATCGTAAGGGCCATGGTGGCCATCAAGGCGCCCTTTGGAATTGGGAAAGAGAAACTGCGCACACTCCGAGTCGTAGCTTTCCTGGGTTCAGGAAGTTATGGTGGCTTGAGGCCAGGTGGGGTGGTGCTTAGGGCCGCTGCCAAAATTGAGAAACCCTTCGGATATACATCCCAGCACAACCGGTCGGAATTTCTCTGTGGCGCTACCCAAACTGACAGCCAAATTTGTACGAATCTCCATTTTCGACGACTATCATCATATCTTCGTTGGTGATTTGGGATGCAAACTATTTGCATCAAAAGAATGTTGTAGCACTTTGGATCCAAATATAGCATGTACTTATATATATATATAGCAACTCTGAGAAACAATAGCAATGAAATCTTTGTTTGGTTGCTATACAGAATTGCCCCAAGGTGTCCCAGGACTCGCGGCGATATCATTGATGTCATTGTTTGTAATTATTCTGCCATGTTTTTTTTTAGCAACCCGCAAAAACATAAGAATGCATTTGTTTACTGCAACAATGGCAAATCACTGTTTGATCCTTTTTTGAGGGTCACTACACGTTCTTAAGTGTCAATGGATTACTGGGTCATTAGTGCTTCTCCGTTGTTGGGAGGGGCATTGATTTGGCCAAGGATCATTGATATCATTGGCAGCCATCGCCTGAAGAGGTCACCCGAATCGGTCACATCGGAGAAAAACAGGAAAAACCCAACATCTCCAATTCCCTATTTCAACTACGTGAATATCTTGTGAATATCATCATATTTGATGATGACGTTTACCGATGTTTTATATTGTTTTATGATGTTTGGTGGTGTTTGATGATGGCGATCAACCGGGATTGGGCATCATTATTACGTCTAATTGGGGTTAATATTATGTTGTCTTTACATTAAATGGGGTTTTAACAACCAACCAACCAACCAACCAGCCAGCCAGCCAGCCAGCCAGCCAACCAATCCGCGGTTGACCGAGATGGATTCTTTGTCAAGCTTTCAAGAAGCATACAGTAAATTTTCTTCCTCCTGAAGTATTAACTAAATCCCACTGAATCTCCATTAGATATCACCATATCAAAAAAAACGTGTTCTTGGTTTTACCCCACTATATCCCATTAAAATCCCCATGAAAGCCCTATATCCCTATAGACTAAGGTGAGGCTCACCTCCATGCTCAGCATCTCCAGGACCGTTTCGTCAAATGGGCCCTGGTCGTGCTCCATGGTGTGAAGCCAACTGGCCTACCGCGGTGTGTTTTTTGCGGGTGAGAACCCAGACATGAAATATGGGACCAACCATAGATGGAGCAGTAAGTATCTATCATGTATATAATGTAATGAATCATAGATACAGATATAGATATAGATATAGGTATAGATATATATATATAGATATAGATATACATGTGTGTGTGGTTTTGGTCAGCAAATTCAAGAAGGGAAATGATGATTTACCAGACTGGGGGTATCTGGGGGCCCATGGACTTCCTCTCATTGGCCACCAGTTTTGGATGGTTTGATGGATGCCATGCCATGCCTTGTGCAGCAGCCAAGGCTCAACTCATTGGACTAATGATCAGCTGGCACCCATCACAGTGCCCCATTACTATGGCAATTGCTACCGGGAAAATGTTGGCGAACCATGGAAGTTTGATGGTGTTCCGATATTTTCCAGACCCAGAAACCCCCAAAAGCCCTTACATCCCCAATTTCGATGGCTAAATCCCTGTACTTTTAGTTGTTGATCTCCATCATGTCCAGTGTTTTCGAAAACAGTGCGGGGAAGGGGAGCGGATGGTAATGTGGTAAGAACAAACAGTGTATACATTTACATAGGTATACATATATATATATATATGCAGATAGATAGATACATTAAATGTATGCAAATATTTACATGTATATGCTCAAGTCAAAATACAAGACATCTATGCGAATAAGACAAAAAGAACGTGACAAAATCATGAAGTCATGCAGTCTGCTCTTCATGAAACAAGCAAGGCCTCCTTTTTTCGTCACAGCTGCGCACTGCAAGCGAGTCCAGAGAAACACGTGAGCGAGGAGTCTCCAGACCGTGCAACCACAGGTCTCCGCAGCACAGGATCCCGAAAAAGTCTGGAGCACACAAGTTGCCACTGCAGCTGGTGACGCCCTGCAATGCAGGAAAGCACTCAGCTACCCAAAAGAACAACAACAATAAAGTGCAGGCCGTGGCAGCATGGATTGTGCCCAGCTGGGGCCGAAAGCAAAGCAGCGCGCGCAGCCGCAGCAGCAGTTGCATCCGCCCAGAGCAGTCGAAATGCACATGGACATCCCATAAGAGCAGTTTTATGCGAATTTACAGGGAAATGCCGGGGCACACGATCGGACACGCGCCGCAGACTTTGTGCGAGCCTGCGCAGTCGAAATGCACATGACCATCTCACAAGAGCAATTTTATGCGCGAATTTACAGCAAAAATGCCGAGGGGCCAGAGAGCGTACCCTTATCTAACCCCGGCCTTAACCCTTACCGTTAGAACCCCTCAGTGTGGACACACTGTTTGAGGAAAGACAGCTGTTGCCCCAAACCAATTATAGTGTTCAACATTCAGGATTCCTTCCTTTTTATGACTAAGCTGCGCTAGAGGCGTTATTGATCTAAGAGATGATCACATCTCAAAAGAACAGAAACCAGAGGAACAAAGAAACGAGAACCCCAGGAACATCAAGCACCACCAGATGTCCGGAGCCCCCCGGGTTCCCCCAGCCCCCCGCGCGCAAACACCTACCCAAAGCCACCTGTGTCTGTTCTCCCATAGGCCAATGCCATTATCAGACACAGACAAGCACACAGGGTCCCACTGTGTGGTGGTGCACAGGGGTTGGTGGAGGGTAAGCAAAGAAGCTACAGTCATTAAGAATGTATCACACTATCTGACAGGGGGACCGTTTGCTAGTGTTCAACATTCAGGATTCCTTCCTTTTTATGACTAAGCTGCGCTAGAGGCGTTATTGATCTAAGAGATGATCACATCTCAAAAGAACAGAAACCAGAGGAACAAAGAAACGAGAACCCCAGGAACATCAAGCACCACCAGATGTCCGGAGCCCCCCGGGTTCCCCCAGCCCCCCGCGCGCAAACACCTACCCAAAGCCACCTGTGTCTGTTCTCCCATAGGCCAATGCCATTATCAGACACACCCTGTGTACCATCCTTCCCGTTTTGCGCAAATGCGCGAGTGTGAAGTAGGCTGACTCAAGCGGGAAAGATCAGGTGGGAAAAAGCCAGGGCAAGGGAGGAGAGGGAGATTCAAACAACTGCATTATCAAATGATGGCCTGCATTTCATTGCCAACTGGCGAAACTGTCGTAACTGGGAATCTGACAGTTGCAGTTCTGTTAACTGAGCAACTGCATCAGAAATATATATTCTAGCAGTTTTTACACTGCTCCATCGGCCTTTTACACAAATAGCAGCAATATTGTTTGTTGTTCTAAACGCATGGGTTGCCCCTCCACGTCGAACACTGTACCACCGAAAGGGGAACGAAATTTTTAAAGTCAGCAACAGGTCATTCAACCGTTTACGTTGGGTTCCACCAGAGACATGAGAAAGAGAGTCACCAGGAGACAGGTTAACCAGAAACCTTTTCAACAACACCAACACAAAAGGATCAGTCAAAAGGATACTTTCAGTCACGCCTTGTCGTTGTCCACTTTTTGAAAGGGGCAAGGTCCAAGTACCCGACTTGCTACCCAAGACAAAGTCACCAGCTTTGGCGCGAAAAAGTTCGCCCGCACGAGCAAAGGTGTGAAACCCCAGGATGAGCAAGACAGCAAGATCCACCCAGCCATGATCGGCGGCAGCCTGAGCAACTGCATATAGAAGCAGAGGTGTAAACGGTGGTGCTCGGCAGGGAAGTTCTGCTCGCCCCCAGGCCGCATGCAGTCTCCAACCGCCGACTAGGTAGGGTTTACAGGGTGGAATAAAGTGACCCAAACCACTAAGGCAGTCTCCAGCCCATCCTTTAGGGTCTCCCTGCTCCCAAAGTTCCTCAATAAACTGTGAGACCTCCAAATCCAAAACTAAAAATGATGACGGGTAAGGTTTCCCTTGTGAAATTAGGAATTCAAGAAATCGTGAAACACTGGCCAAATATCTAGCTTCAGTTTTGGGTGAAACAACCTGCGATTTTAGTCTCCCCAAAGCCTTTCGATCCCTTTGCCTCTCAGCCCGAGTCCTTTTTGCAAGCACTTGTCGTTGTCTAGGCATCTTGCTTAGCGCGTCTGCTGACCCATCGCGATGGGCCATCAGCAGGATTCCATTCTGATTTGACCCAGGCAACAACGAGGCGCGTGGATGTGGCTACCAAAATGGCAGCCAATCGTCGAAGAGGCTGTCGGAGACTGCAGGCGCTGGTGCGTCCTTTCGTAAGAATGCCCACGACTGAGGCATTGTCCACCAGCAGCAAAGATTTCTTTTGAAAGTTTGCTGACGTTCTGCTCAGCTTTCTCATCAGGTCCAAAACAGCCACAGTTTCAAGTTGGGTGATGTGGGCATTTGGCTGCTTCCATTTGTACGAAAGGACCACCTTCCATTCCCAGTGTGTGGGATCAATCGAGCGACGACAGAAGTCGCTTGCCGAGAATGGGACTCCGTGATCCAGCTTGACATCAGTCCCTCGGTGTGAAACGTTGCGGGTGATGAGATAGGTCAGCAATTGCTCATCACTGAGTGCTTCATTGGGATCCAGCAGGGACCTTGGGGAAGGCAAGAGGCGACCAGACCTGCAAAGGCAGTGCCGGAGGCCCCCCACCGCACCCTTGGCCCCCGGACCGAATCGGGTCGACCATGAAGCCTCCTTGAGCTGTTGCACTCGATCTTCATTAGTTTTCCAAATTTTCCAGAGCTCGGCCGTGAGGTCCATGTCAGAATCTGGCGCATCCGTGCTACACAGACCAGCCAGAAGCCGCGCCACCACCAAGACAGGAAACGTGTTTCCAATCAGCTGACCTCGTTGATCTTCAGTCAACTTCTGCTTGAGGTCCAGGGCGTCGGAATTGTAACCCAAGAGTCTGAGTTGCTCATCTGAGAGCAAGCGTCGAGGGCCTTGTGGTGTTTTCACCAAATTGTCCTCTGAATATTGGTAAGGGGCCAGACGATACGCATCACCCCGCCAACGACCCAGAGTTTTGGCGTCACAGCGGTCGTATCCCGCTGGATCACGTGGTGGCTCTGCCCTCGGCATGGGTCGAGCGAAGGTGAAGAAAGGGCGCCCATCATCAATCAACTTGGTGCAGCCGCGCCGCAGAAACCACTCCAGCGGTGGCTTTTCTGTTGTGATCTTGGCCACAGTCAACTTGGTTTGCAGGTTCCCTACCTGCTGCTCCGGCAAGAGTTGGAGATCAGCTCCTTCCATGATGGAAAGGTTCTTCAGCCAGAAGAGTCGTGGCCGGCGGCAACGCAAGGCATCAGCAGCCTCACACATGATTGGCAGGACCCCAATTTTGTCCGATTGCACCGTGAGGTCCTGCTGATCCATCACTACATTTTCATAAAACTCGATAATGTCCCAGTCGGGCAGGTGTAGAGGGCGGCTGACTTGTTTCAGTTGCTCTGCGAGGGCCAGCATCACGTCGAGAAGCCTGGAAGAATCAGCTTCTGCTCCCAGACGATTGGTGTTGAGAGAAGAATGGTTCACACACGGCCATCCACCTCCAAGCACCACCTTCTGTGCCCTTGGGAACTGCAGCCTCCATGATTTCACCATTGCCCTGTCAACCTTGTGAATGTTGTCGACTGTCAAGACAAATGCGCAGTGACGCTTTGCCAACTTCAGGCACACTGGGTCCGTGTCAATCAGGATAATGCCTTGTGGAAGGAGCCCAAGCAGTTCGATCGCTTTTCGCAGGCCTCCCATGCCGCCAAAGACTTCAATGAGCACAACCCCATCACAGGCTCCTCCTTCTCGACCTTCATGTTCAGAACACATCAGGTGGAGTTTGGCTCGTCCACGTGCAGACAGACAAGTTGTCTGACAAGCACCTCCCCCTTCAGGAGAAGCATCAGTTGCATACACCGTCGGGTTGAGACAGGTGCGCTGGTTGCTCCAAAGCAGTGGCAGCAAGCAAGTGAGCATCAACAGCTCCTCGTACGCAGCCAGATCCACACAGGTGTTGATATCGTCCAGGTTGAGGTTTCTATAAAGATCATCAAAACAGCAAGCCACAGGGCGGCAGTACTGTGTGGCATGCATGTGCTTCCCAACGACCGACAGCAACTCCAGATCACACGTCCTCATGTCCTCTTTCATCAGGAGGCAAAGGGATGATGACATCACCGCCCTTCGAAATTTTCGTGAGCTTCCCACAAGGCCTTCCATGCCCAACTGTTCGGCTCCAAGGCTGACCCACTCAAGCGTACCTTCTGCCGCTTTCTTCTCATCACGGCCGATATCCCAGGTCTGGAAAGTCCGTCTAAGCTGCAGCTGGCTGTCAGACGGTCGTCCCTCATACTCCGCCAGGTCGGTCCTTGCAATGATGACAAAACCATCGTAGTTGTCGACATAGAAGCTGTGATATTGCCTTGGTGTCGTGAGCTCCAGAAGAGGAGATGGCTCACCCATCTTGACGCATCTGCTTGCCGGGATTCCACCCAGAGTTCCCATTCTTTCCAAAGACGATTGGACAAAGTCAACAATATTTGCCCACCCCATTGGGGCTGACCGTACCCGAGGTCTTCCTTTCTCCTTCACCCCGTCATTGAAGCTGCCACCACTTGCTTCTTTTGACAGCACGAAGTAGCCCCGCCATCTGGGACCCGGGGAGAAGATGTGAAAACAATGTTTCACGTCCTCACCGTAAGAGAGAACGACCTCGTCCTCCAAGAGAACCATGTTGCCCCAAAGGGGTGCATACCCCATTGACTTCGAAGCTTGATCTGGCATTCGGCGTTGCAGCAGATTGGTTGGGATCAAGTTCACAATGAGTCGCAGGGAGCGACGCCAGTTGCCATTGCCTTCGTCGATCCAGCCCTTGTGCACGCCAAAGAGGCCATTGTAGATCGGGGTTCCCTTGACTTTGACCGTCTCACTAGGGACCTCTCGTTCCAGCATGCCAGCCTCCACCAGGTGCTTTACAATGAGGTCGTACTCCGCGCTGGATTCTACAAGCACTGGAGCTGAGTATCTGACATCTCCCAACTCATCATCAGGAATTCTCAGAAGGTCAGGGTTGACCACATAGTCCTTCAGCTCAGGTGGGACTGTTTCCTCCAGGGCAACCCTTCCGGCTTCTCCGGGGCCTGGCACATGCGGGGCAATAGCTGCCCAGCTCAACTTGTATGCTTTTGTGACTTCATATCCCGTGTAGAAATCGCCCAGATTTTGAGCTTGTACTTCCCATGGAGTGATCTTCAGTTGATGCTGATCATCCTCGATCCACAGGTTGATCAGTGCCCGGAAATTATCCATCACTTGAAGCTGCTCTGCAGTGGGGTTCAAGGGATGCGGCATCACTCTGCCCAAGGGCCTTGAGCCACCACAGAACATGGCGTTGAGGACAGCCAGGACCAAGCCCAGCCATACCTCCCTGCCACATTCCTTGGCGAGCTCCAGGGCTGATGCCTTTTCTGAATCCGTCAGGGCCCGAGGCTGCTCATTGTCGAGCAGCAGCCGATGCAGACGCAGCTCTGCCTGAGTTTCCTCTGGGACACTCATAGGGAGCAGCTCGATGGGTGTCTGCCTAAATTGCCGTCTAGCGCAGGCTGGTAACATCCTAAGGATGTTCCCAAGATGTCCCGGGCAGCGACTCAACACCATCTTCAGCACCACCCCGACCAAAGAGACAGTCACCTCACCGTCCAGCTGCAGTCTCATGAAGGATTGGCATTGCTGCCACGTCCAGGTAGTCTTCTTCCCAGAGATTGAAAACTTGTCAATCACCTCTGCAGCCGCATTGAAGCCGCCGGGCTCGACATACACAGGTCGTCCGTCCAAAACATGAGCTGCCTTCTCCACCGCAATGTTGTCTGCATAGGCTTCCCGGAAAATCGAGGTAGGAAATAACTCGCAGCCATCACCAACATAGACTCCACCGTCTACGGCATCCCATCCAGAAAAGATCTCTCGTACTTGGGTTGACCCCACCACTCCAAGCAGCTTGCCTTCTTGTGCACGCTGATAGCGACCAGCTTTTAGGCCACGGCTGTCTGTCTTTCCATGCGGAGCCACCCGATGGAAGTTGCGGTCACCCAGTTGGCCTCCCTCTCGTGCCAACGGGGAATAGTAATGCTCCAGCAATTTCAAGATGGCATCCGGCGAATAATCGCACCATTCTACCATGAGTGATGTGAAGTCCTTGTAGACCCGTCTCTTGTCATCCAAGCTTTCATAGCTGGCTATGACGCCACCATAGATCTAGTGCAGGCGCTTATCCCGCAGGAGCAGGTCAAAACCCTGTCGGATACCATCACTAATGTTGGGATCCTCCAGAGCTCGGTCCAACGCCGGCAAATCCAAACGGCCATCGACCAGGTTCACTTGCGACCAAATCGGCCTTTCTTCCCTTTGCCTTTTCCTTTTCTCGCTCCCCCCTTCGGCTGATTGTTCGGCGGGGCGTCTTTGGCGTCTCCGTCCCCTTGACCTCCGGGTGTCTCGCTCGTTGGCCACGCTGGCGTCCATGTTGGGGTCGGTCTTGCCTGTCTGAATGGCCACCTCTGTATCTTCCACTCTTCTTTGACCTCGGATTGTGCTGCCTTCAGCTCTGGCCTGAACACTGCCGATTGGTTGTCCTCCAGGACCAATTCCAGCTGTGAGGCCTGCGACCAACCCTGCTGATTGTGGGCCAGTTCCAAGGCTTTCAGTCGCTGAACCAATACATCGAGAGCTCTCAATGAATCGTTGTGACGAAGCATGTCTATCACAGTCGCCACTGTTCTGAGCTCTCTCAAGTTCCGCACGCCCACGGCTGCTGGGGGATTTTGGACCAGAAAGACCCCCGCCAGATACCCCATCGCAACCGCTGGAAGCTTCTCGTCGCTGTCCACTGCCGTTCCCCTTCCCTGCGCTCGATGCACCAGCTCCTGCATTCGCAAGAGGCTTAGGGAGGCCAGATTTCCTGGGCTTTTCTGGTGCAGGCGTCGGAGGCGTTCCATGCCTCTTGGAAGGGCGGCTGAATGAAAAAGCGACCCTGTGCTAGATGTCGATGAGGGGCTGCGACCACGGGCACGGTCACTGCTCGAGCTTCCGCTTTTCTTTTTCTTCTTCTTTTTGTGCTTGGACCCCAGCTCGAGAGCTGAAAGACGAGGTTCAGGAGGGACCTTCTTGTCAAGTTCCGCACGCAATCCCACTCGTCCTCGCTCATGGGCCTCACCCCGAGCAGCCTTGCGACCACGCTCTTCACGTCCAGGAGAGGGTGACCTCTTGTGAGGCTTCCGGTCTCTTCGCTCCTTCTTTTCATGCCGACGCTCATCCGCAGGCGTGCCACCTCTCTCACTGGCAGGTCGTTTGTTGGCATCCTGTCCAGCCCCTAAGGCCCTAGCTAAGCCTTCCACGCCTTCTTCACCTGTCTGCACCTCGCCACGCGCAGCATCCAGAGGAGGTGCTGCCCCAGGAGCAGGATGACCCCCACTCCCAGGAGCGTCCCTCCCCCCGATGACTGCGGGGTGTGCTTTCAGCCAAGCTTTCTGGTCTTCCTTCAGCCAGCTTAGACGTTCCACCTGAGTGCCACTGACCAGTCGGTAGACGTCCACATGAATCGGATCCCTGAATGCTGTGTGGCTTCTGCACACTGCAACCGGCACATCGCAGAAGTGAAAGAAGGTGACTGGAGCATCCTGGATCTTACCGTAGAGGTTTTCGAACCAGTATTCGTAGTAGCCGTCTTCCACAGCTAAGACTTGTCCTTCATAAACTCGTCCACCAGCAATGTTGCTTTCCAGGGCTGCCGCTGTCAGGCAAGCCACCACCCGGCCCTGTTGACGATGCCGGTCATCGTAGGCAGCAAACTCAAAGATGCAGCCAATCTGTAAGCCCTCATAGTGTCCGGCATCTGCTTTCTGTCCCGTTTTCCTCCAGGGGCCCAAGCGCTCACCAGCCATAGATCCTCCTCACTCAAGTCAGAGACTCACAGCGATGTCCACCCAGAGAGGCAGACACCACCAGCTCCAACGAGAGTGAGGGGACCAGGACTGGTAGCCGGCCCCCACCTTACAACTCCTTAAGCAAAGAAGCTACAGTCATTAAGAATGTATCACACTATCTGACAGGGGGACCGTTTGCTAGTCGCAAGTTCAACGGCTACATCGCGAGGATGGTTGGTTAAATCCAAATTTGACACTCTATATAGCTATATATATACATAGATATTTAAAAAAACATCAAATCCACCCTATTTCCCATAAAATCCGCCATTTTGATTGTAGAATCAGTTCAATCCCTATGCTGGATCATCAATCATCCCAATGCTTGTTGATAAATCAAAAAACGTCCCCACAAGATATCTCCATCAAATTCATTCAAAGATCAAAGACACATAACATATATGGAGGGTTCTTTAAATGGAGGATCCCCAAGTCACCATGGGTTTTACTAAAATTGTCTAATTTTGGATGATTTGGGGTTTTGGGGTACCCCCATTTGAGGAAACCTCCATATCCCTAAATGGTCGGTATCAGAAACAGTATCCCCTCATGTCCAGGAACCAAACCCCGCCCTGGCATCGCCTTCTCCAGTAAAAGCTTCAGGAAGTGCCACCCCCGCGGAGAGTTTCTCAGCAGGGCCACGCCGTTGTTCAGCGTCTGTGGACCTTGGAAGTGCTCTATCTATCTATCTATCTAATCTAATCTAATCTAATCTAATCTAATCTAATCTATCTAATCCTATCTATCTATCTATATAATCCTATCTATCTATCTAATCCTATCTATCTATCTAATCCTATCTATCTATCTAATCCTATCTATCTAATCTAATCTATCTATCGATCTATCTATATTTCTATCTATCTAATCCTAACTATCTATCTATCTATCTATCTAATCCTATCTATCTAACTAACTAACTAATCTAATCTATCTAATCTACCTAATCTATCTAATCTATCTAATCTACCTAATCTATCTAATCTATCTAATCTACCTAATCTATCTAATCTATCTAATCTATCTAATCTATCTAATCTATCTAATCTACATAATCTATCTAATCTATCTAATCTATCTAATCTATGTAACCTATCTAATCTATCTAATCTATCTAATCTATCTAATCTATCTAATCTATCTAATCTATCTAATCTATCTAATCTATCTAATCAATCTAACCTATCTAATCTATCTAATCTATCTATCTATCTATCTATCTACCTAGCTATCTATCTATCTATCTATCTATCCATCGATCGATCGATCTATCTATCTATCTATCTAATCCTATCTATCTATCTAATCCTATCTATCTAATCCTATGTATCTATCGAATCTAATCTATCTATCTACTCTAATCTAATCTAATCTAATCTAATCTACTCTATCTGTCTGTCTATCTTTCTATCTATCTATCTATCTATCTATCTAATCCTATCTATCTAATCTAATCTAATCTAATCTAATCTAACTATCTATCTATCTATCTATCTATCGATCGATCTTTCTATCTTTCTATCTATCTATCTATATTTCTATCTATCTAATCCTATCTATCTATCTAATCCTATCTATCTAATCCTATCTATCTAATCTAATCTATATAATCTAATCTAATCTAATCTAATCCAATCTATCTATCTATCCATCTAACTAAGTAATCTCATCGAATCTAATTTATCTCATCCTTGTCTTGCGATATCTTGTCTTATCTTATCTTATTGTATGTATATTATATACATACTGACATACTGTAAGACTCCTCACTTTCATAGGCCCTGAATTTATGGCTGGCTAGCTAGCCAACCGCCAATCGGAAAGGTGGTCGTACCTTAGTTAAGACCTCAGTTTAACAATTAAGACCTTAACCTTAGTTCAGACCTTAGTTAAGACCTCGGTTAAGACCTTAGTGATCCAACTTCAAATCGGTTGATGAATCACTGCCGCTCACATCCCGCAGCCTTCTCCGTTCATCTCCGAGCTGCGTCCGAAGTCGCGCACTCCAACATCAGGAGCTGGTCCTTGGCGTGGCATGGCCGGGAGGGATCGCTGACCTTCCCCAAGTTCCGGAAGTGTGGTGAATCCCATATGAACCAGCTGTAGTTGTAATATGACTCATATTATACCCACTTGTAAACTATTTTGATATATATATATATATACCCTGTAAATTATAACTATGACTATAATCATAACTTAGTAACATATCACTCCGTGTGCAAAACAGTTACCTGGATCGTCCTAGTGAGATTGGGATTCAAAGGGGGCCTCGATTTTCCTATGGAAAGATGTAGTGCTTTAATGGTGGTATATGATATAAATATCAAATATTATATATATACATGTGTATATTATAACATTATATATATATGCTGTATAATGAAATCCTGATATTCTATGCCAGCTGTCGTCCCAAAGCAGCAGTTCACAACTGACTGATTTTTTTTTTCAGGATACGTTCCATGAGTGCCGCTGGCGGGACAATCAGGATCTCAGACTCTGTTTCCCTTCCAAAACACCTCCCGTTTTACCATTTCGCCCATCTTATGGCTGCCTAAAGATACCATCATTATTTACACCATGTTTATATAATTATGGACCATGGAGGTTTCCTAAAATGGGGGTACCCCCCAAATCATCCAAGTCATTCGACCATTTTAGTATTGAAGCCCATGGTGACTTGGGGATCCCCCATTTTAAGAAACACCAAAATATACCGGGCTTCAGCCAGGCGGCTATCAGGAGTTGGCCATGTGCCCAAGAGCTCGGAGATCTGCAGGATTGCGCGGAAAGGGGGTGAGGACAATATCCCTACTGAACATCATTAAACATTGTTCATCATCATTAGATATATAGATGTTAGACATTTTTTTGGTCATTAAACATTGTTCAACATCATTTCATCATCATTAGACACTGATGACCAAAAAAACATGTAATGTTGAAAATGCTTCAAGGTGATCGACCCCCCAACTTTGACAGGCTTTGGAAAAACATTAATCAAATTTCTGATCCGAAATTCTGGAAAGAATTCTCTCCATAAGTTGCGATCTCCCCATTTTGGCTCATCATGTTGTCGAAAGTCTTGAGTTTCAGAGATGAAATCATGAATAAATCTTCACTGAAACTCCGTGTGTCTGGTTCAGATCTACATTTTTTCTACAGTTGTTCCACCTTTTTTCCACTTGTTCTACATTTTTTCCATGTTTCCACATTTGTTCCCCGTGTTTCCACATGGTTTCCCCCGTTGTTGCACACATTTCATCCACATTTGTCTCGCTCTTTTTCCAGAAATGTCCAAAAACATAGTAGATCATATATTAGTACATATCTCCAGGTATACGGTATACATATCAAAGCACTAGAGTTACTTTAACTAAATAGAAAAATCACATGGTTTCCACATGTTTCACATCGAAAAATAAATCGCCGAGGTCGCTGAGAGGTGCCAGCAGGGGGCCACGATCACTTGGTCGGGGTCCACGATCCTCGCAGAAGGTCTAGGGTTTTTTCTCCTGTATCATTTGGGATTTCTTGGGATAATAATGGGAATTTATAGGGATTCATAGGGATTCATGGGGATTTATAGGGATTTATAGGGATTGATTGGATAGTGAGTGGGGATTTGTAGGGATTTATCTCCAGATCTATATGTTTTTTGGGATAATAATTGGGATTTCTTGGATAGTAATTGGAATAGTAATTGGGACAATAGTTGGGATGCGAGAGTAATTCTGTAGAATTGGGGGGATTCAATTTGTGACGATTTATAGAGATATGATTAGGATATCATTAGGATATTAAGTGGGATAATCTTTGGGATGAAATACTGGGAATATACCTTTTGGTAATCAAACGTGGCTAGCTTGAAAATCCCCACATAAATGGAAGTTTAATGGGAAATCATCCACAAATGGGGGGAATTTTCCTGCTGGCCAGGCTAGCCATGTATCCGATATAGCAAGCCCAAAGATAGATAGAAAAGTAGGAAACCTGGAAATATGTCTATATTAGATATTAGCTATAACCTCCTGGAAACATGGTTCAATCTTTTGATAAATGTCCTATATATATATATTAAAAATCACCCAACTATTGGGGATATAATCTCCAACAAATACATATACGGGGTTCCTAACATGGGGGTACCCCAAGAGATGATTGGTGGTGATGTTCAAAATCCCCAAAATTGCATTTCTCTACCCCTGATATAGTAAGCCCCACAAAGAGAGAAAAGTAAACCTACTAAACTAGTGATAAATTGCGTGTCTATCTTTTTGGGGCATACCCGAGGTAGTAAATGTCCCCAAATACAAATGGCTGAGGTAGTACCAGATCATGTCCCAAATGTTGGTGTCCCAAATTTGGGAGGACTATCTCTCCCCAAATTTCGGTGGGACCCAACATCTCTTGAGCCCCAACTTCTGAAGTCTTCAAAACCTCCAACTGACTTGACCTTACCCCACTGCACCAAGCATCAGCAAGGCATCGTAGAAGGACAAGAACCGCTCTGCAGCGAACCAGCGCATCCAGTTGGGCGATGGCGCTGCACCTGCTATCCATTGGAAAAGGTGGGACAGTGGCTGATAAAGATGTTGAATATCTGCGAAGCCTCCAGTAAAATGGATAATGGTGGGTCGTCCATATCTACATGAATTGACTGGAGGGTATAGCCCAGTGAAAATATAATATATTGGGGGTTGAAAACTGAAACAAGGGGAGAGAAGTCACCAGGATCGATCTCCCTTCAACTGGGGTTCTGACTGGGTGTAATTGGAAGGTGTCAACCTATGGCAACGGGGATTCCATCAGAAATTGCAGTCTCTTTGGCTTTTTGGTGACTGTGCTGACTGAAGAACGCAGAGACAACTCAAATGTAAGCGCGGAGACGAAACTTGCCTGTCGATTACAACTGTGTGATATATACTTACTGCAAGTAGGGTGCAAATAGCATTAGACAAAACCAGAATGAGCGGCCTTGATCATTATATGACAGAATGGGATTTCCCATATTCATATGATGGTGTTGTTCTTGTTGTTGTTCTTGTCCTTCTTGTCCTTCTTGTCCTTTTTGTTCCTCTAGTTCTTCTTGTTCTTGGAACCCATTGTTTCCTGATCACTAGGGGGTCCCCACAAGTAATCAGCAAAATGTGGATAGTGAATCATAATTTGTCCGACTGCCCCTGATATCGGCTTGTCCAAAAATGGAGTAACTGAGTACCCCCACAAATCCTATGGTCCATCATAATTTGCCCCATTCAAATGTCGACAAATTAGGGTGAGATATCCTTGTTCGAACATATATGATATTATATGATATTATACAGTCTACATATTGTTCGATGTGAAAAGAAAACACACACTATACATACCCCTACAATATACACGGTGTATCCCCACAAAATGGTTTGTTTGGACCCATGTTTTTCATGGTTCTGACACGGCCAAAACTTCCACAGCTACCTTGATCCGTCTCCAAGATGAAGCCCAAACCATGCGACAGCGCGTAGCAGCGCCACAGGTTGATGAAGGGCCTAAGGGTGTGCCCAAACAACACGTGAGCACTGTGAAAAACCCTTTACAGTAAAAAAAACAAAAGAAAAAGAAAAGTACGATCTTACCAAAATAGCGAAAAGTCACGGTTCTATCTTTTTGGGGGTTGCTGTGCTGGTTGACTTCTTTGACATTCGCCAATATTGGGAGTTTTTGTTTCTAGTATTTTTCAGTATAGCATGGGGAATAACCGATCGACGCGGAGACGATTGTCTGTCACAGACGGTTTCGTCAACCCATCCCCCTCCGCAGCTACGGCTGACAGGCTGTATTCATGTGAGGTTAGAGCAACCCCGAATCAATGGAGGTGGGAAAAAAACTATAATCTGGTTGGTGGTTTTTAACATCTTGAAAAATATTAGTTAATAGGAAGGATTATCCCATATATTATGGAAAATAAAAAAATTTTCCAAACCACCAACCAGATAATAAATGGGGATGGTTCACCAACAAGGTTTCCAAGAATTTGATTTGAGAGAATGAAGAATTTATGAGTTAACAAATGGGCAGCTGGATGGAAAAAAAACGGCAAATTGTCTGAAAAAAAACACCAAGCAGTGGGGGTTCATCATCCCAGTGAGGCGACAATGGAAAAATCTGAAAAACAGGCAACGTGCTCACACCTCAGATTTTACTCGTCGCTTTTGAGCCACTTGTTGGGCCACGGGCAAGCACGGATTTGTGCGTGTCATCCTTGCACCAAGAGACAGGACATGCTAATCTTCTCTGTATCGTTTCAACTGCCTACAACCTATCACATGGGTGTGAGTGCCATGACTGAAGTTTGACACCCCACCTTGGCAACTTGTTCCTTTAGAACTTGTTGTCATTCTTGAAACTTCCATGCAAACTATGGCTGTGTTTCAGCCAACTGTGCTATTACATTCAGCTCTCATCCTAGGTTGTCAAGGCCGCTGAAAAAAAAAATCTGTCTCTCACTTGGTTGAATTCGTTCGCCTGGGCTGTGGCAAACATTCCATTGCCTCATGCTTTGATTGCCTGCCACATGCCTTCAAGCTATGTCACGTAGGGTCTCGATCTCTTGCATCGCTCGTGTGAATGTCGCAGCAGCTTCCCAATCTCCTTGTTCTTCAGCCTGAGCTCGTCGGCTCTGCAATGAAGCCAGCGCATTCTGAAGTCGAAGTTGGTTGGCCTGAGAAAAGGCCAGCATTCGGTCATGATCATATTCATCTCTATCTCCAAAGTGGATTGCCGCCCACTCATCTGGGTCGGAAACCTCTCCTTGATCTGACTCCAAATAGCGTCTCCTGCGATCTTCTGGAGTTTCTCCATCCATATCGATGTCCTCGTCCAACTCAGACTCACGAGCTGCACGGTCAATATGATGACCATTGAGATTTGCTACGTGTTGCAACGCAGCTTCAGCTAGATCCACATTCTCAAAGAGTTGAGGCTCAGGTTGGGCTTCCACATACGGTTCCTCCAATGCTGCAAGTGCTCCAACTGGATACTGGCCACCAGTCAGATACTCGTCCAAGCTTTCGTAGACACCTTCCATGTCAGTCATGAAGTCACCTTGTTGATTGGATTCCCTGAACCTGTCGTGCAAATAACAGATTTCTCGGCGAAGCATCCACCAGGCTAGCCACAAACTTGGTTTGATCAGCAATCGAAACCTGCAAGCCATCAATGCCGAAGCATGGCGAATCGTCACCATCCGCATCCATTCGTAGTGCTTCCAAATCAAAGGTCCTGATAGGAGAAATACCACTCCAGCAACCAATGAAAACATTCCAATGATCTGCGCCACCAGGAAGACAAACTTCATGAAGTAGTATGTGCAGCCGGTACTTGTGGTGACTGTCCATTCTGCCAGTGTCCACAAAGCCAGTTGCACGCCATCGCTGTTGGTCTCGTCCATGTCTCCACCTGCCACAGATCCATGATTGAAAAGGAAGTCACTGTTGCAACCTTTCAACTGCATGCACATGTTCATGCTTGCACCAGCCATTTGAATGAGTCTCATGCACTGCTCCATGGTAACCCTATTGATTCTTCTGATACGTCTGATCTCGTTGTCATCATTTGTTTCACTGTCATTTGGAGAAAAGAGTCCAATGAGTTTTCCCAAGAACTTTCTGCGTTCTCCACTGAGACGTTTCGTGTTGAGATCTCCAGGGTTGATTTTGGTACTGATTTTGAAAATCGAAAATACACCAGTCCGCAGCAAATTTTGCAAATAAAACTGCTTGATCTGGATGTGCTTCAATCTCCCTGTTTCAGTTCTGCGGATCAGTGCTAAGGCCGAAGACGAATCCATGAAAAGCCTTTGTTGTACCACCTCATTGCTTGTTTCACTTTCATCACCAGCTAAGAACTTGCACAAACGGAATAAAAGAATGCATTCCACCATCAATCCATTTGCAGCGTAGAGTTCAGCTTCACAGCTTGAAAGTGCCACTGAAGCCTGAGTCCTGCATATGCTCATCAGCAGGGCTCCATTCAAGAAAATGAGGCCAGAGCTTGTGCTCCGTCTTGTCGTTCGGCAATCAGCCCATGAGCTGTCACTGAAAGCTTCCAGAGTAAAACGACCTTCTGTTGACCATTCTGGGATTGTTGCTTCATTTTGGATCAGGTCGTCATTCCTCCAGAAATCACTCAAAGTCTTTCCTTCCTCTGTTGTTTTCAAAAGGATTCCACTGTCAGGCGTCCCATCAAGATAGGAAGTCAGGTGTTTCAGTGCTGCCATCGCCTTTGTGCTTGGTTTTGACATGTATGATGACAGAGTCTTTACTGCAAATTGGATATCCGGTCTGTCCATTGCAATGTACAACACCAACCCAAGACCAGATCGAAATAATGCAGCCTGCTCGTTGTCCAATGTCTCTGATTCAATCACAAAGTCAGCACTGTAAGCTTCCAATGTTGCATGGTATGGGAGGCCCTTCTTGCGTCTTGCGCTCACCTTCATCATTGAAACCAGCTTTGGAACATACATTGCATTTGATTGTATGAGGATTCCATTATCTCTCATAGTGATCCTCTTTTTCAAATACATGAGTTGCTCTCCACTGGCCGGACAATGGGGCCCATCGACTTTCATCTTCCATGTAGCTCCAATTGTGCTTTTGAACCATTCTACATCATCTGGCAAACATGCTAGGAGAATGTCGTCCACGTGGATGTTCACAAAGATCTTCCTGTTCAAGTCCTTGTGTCGCATCACTGTTGGTGATCCAGGGAATGATACCAATCCTGCATTTTCACATATGGAGGCAAAGTGTTGATGCCATTTCAATGCTGCATTTCGTTGACCTGGAAGACAACGAAGCAAACGCCAGTGAGTGTCAGGTTTACCTGTCAAATCACGAACCCACTGAGGAATTTCAACATACATCTCATCTGTTTGAGGCACCATCAAAAATGCATCCGAAATGTCAAGTGAAGTCACCGAGAGGTTGTAAATCAACGCAAACACCAGCAACATTCTCACTGCAGAAAAAGCTGATGTAGGGGCAAAGCTATTTTCATCAGTGGCTGAGGTCTTGAATTCTCGGGCCACTACTCGGCACCTTCTGATCCAAGCATTGCCTCTGAAACGCCAGTCAAATACCAACGTTGTATCAACTGTGTTTTCTTGCGCAGCCTCTTCTGGAGAAAGGGAAACAGGTCTGATGACCTCCATGCGATGTAACTTTTCAAGTTCATCAAGGATTGCACGTTCATCAAGCTCTTGGAGTTTCTCTGGGCTCACATCTGGTGGGCCTTCTCCTTCACCATGTTGTGCTATGTATTCATCCTCAAGGTCAGGATACTGAAAACCATTCTCCAAATCACCTGTGAATTCATCCATCTCATCGTTGTGACAAATCTCAATGTCTGCCACTTGGTTCACCTTGCTTTCAAACTTGGCCGCCTTGCTCTTAGGAACAATAGCTGGATCATCATCCATCTTTTGCATCTTGGCACGCTCGTCAGTCAAAGGAGTGCTGGAGGGATGTTTGCAAGAACCAGAGGGGATTTCTGCATCTTCATCACTGTCTGCAACCGGAGTGACTGGGGCTTTCAACATGCTTGGTGACCCAGCCCCACCTTGCTCAAACATCTCTTGTTGCCCATCTGTATCTGAAACATCATCCAATCCAACGTTCTCCCAAGCATTCACCTGTGCCAAACCATGTTGTTGTTGAGCAACATCACCATCGTCAAGAGCTTCTGAAGCAGAATATCCATCTGAAAGAACTTGGTCACGCACTGCTTCAGCTTCTTCATCTATCTCCTGTGGTATTGGACCTTTCAAAGCGATGATCTTCTGTTTGGCTCTCACCGCTGGTTTGTGTCCAAAAAAATCCAAGGGTCCATCAGTAAGGCCAAGGATGAGCTCAGCATCCCATTGATTGTTGATCTTTCTAACAGCTCTTGTTCGAATGACACACTGCCCTTCTGTCCAAAGAAGATCCATTCCAGTTGTCTCTTCCTTTCCCAACCAAGCTCCCTTCTTCCATGCCGGTTTGTACTTCGATGACTTGGGGTCAAGGCCATACACAGTTTGACCAAAACATGCCACCTTTCCATGGTACGGTCGGCCTCGAAGGGATTGGTGTGGTGTCACCTTCATGGTGGAGTGAACTTGATAGTGGTTGTAGAGCCAAGCCGCATGCATTGCAGCCCATTGCACTACTGGATGCCCAGCTGGGACCACAACCTTCATCTCACCTTCAAGTTGACAAATCAGGGTTTTCTGGATACCCCTGACAGTTTGAACAAATCTTTCAGCCATGCTCGTTCTGGATTTGTCACCAACCTTGTTCGCAGTAAGATGTGTTGTAAGTTCAGATTTTGCCCTCACTGATTTGCAAAAGTTGGCACCGGCCACCAAAACAGGCTCGTTGTCAAATGCCAGTTCAACTGTTCCATCTCTGACACTGCCAATAAAGGTTACCAAAGCACGGCCAACTGTTTGTGCATTGCGTTGCTTCAGAGGGGCAACTGCAGCATATCTCGACCAAACATCCACCATGAGGAGTGCAACAACTGCACCTTCTTTTCCTGGTTCCATGAAGAAAAAGTCACATTGAATTGTTGGAAATTCCCTTTGCGCTTCACCTGCAGGATCTGGAACATGAGAGTGATGGTCGGCTTTCGATCTGCTCATCACACAGTATTTGCACCAAGGTTGAAATGGTACGTGTGTCAGATCATGGAGTTCTCTTTCCCGGTCACTAGGCTGAGGAGGCACAGAAATGGGTTGTGCATCCAACTGCAAAGACTTGTATTGCTCTTGTGCAGCAAGAACAGCTTCTCTCTTCAAAGCCAACTCAACAGCCTTTTTGCATCTGTCATACATCCTTGTCCTTGATGCAGACTGTGATATACCAAGCCACCTGCAAGCATCACGCAAGAGCCGTATGGTGGAACTGGGAGTTACCACCAAGTCATCATTGATAACCAACATTTCCTGTTCTGCTTGAAGTTCAACTTCTGGAGCTGCTTGGATTTCTTCACCAGGTTCAACTTCGGGCAATTCAATCTGTCGTCCTCCATCATCTGGCGGTAAGACCGTTGGGTTTGAAGAGCTCGAAGGTTTGGACTCAGGAATCTCATCACGCAAACCTGTCACACCAAATTCTTCCTGTCCAAATACAACATCACCGCTCTCGTCAACTACCACCAGTCCAAGATCCAACAAAGATTGAGGTTCAACACCAAGTAGAGTCAGGGTTTCACATTCATCTTCAAATCCAATCGTCAGAAGAAATTGATCGATCATTCCAAAAGGATTTCTCATGTCTTTGAACTTTCTGGATAGCTCCACCACTGTCCAAGCTCTACCTTTCTGGTGTTTTCTGATCAATGTCGTTCTGTAGGGCCAAAAGGGCCAGACACCTTCAGGGTTGATGAAGTCTGTGGTCACTGTTCGAAAGAATGGTGTGCCGCTTGAAGTCATTTCCCAGGAATTCATCGGGGCATTTTCAATTTCATCTTCCACATAAACAACTGTACGCACTGCAAACTCAGCATCGCCATCAGCTGCCACGCAAGTACTTCCAGAAACATCTGAAATCTGCCTCACCTGTGCTTTGATGGCAAAAGAGCGATTTCTGTACTCCACTGGTATCCTGATCTCATTCCCAGGAGATTGAAGACTCAAGCTGTCATTTGTTTCATCTTTGAAGATTGTCCAACCACCCTGATAGAGCTGTCCCAATGACACAAGACAGGACGTGACATTCCCTACTATAAACTCGTGTTGCAGCAATACCTCTTCACCTTCTGTTGTCACCGCAATCAACTCAGCTTGTCTTGTTCCAGTCGTTTGCAATGCTCCTCCCTGGCAATTTTGGAGAGAGCCTGAACCAAAGTTGCTATTGCTATCTGGTTGATAACGAGCTGGAAGAAGGCTGACATCTGATCCACTGTCAAGGATCACCCATTCATTTTCACATTCACCATCAACAACTTCTGTCCATGTGCTTTCGGGATCATGAAATAAAACCATACGCACCTGTGACAAACATGGAGATGTTGGAGATGTTGGGGAAGTAGGGCTTGAAGGATTTGAGAGCGCACCGCCAAACTGAAAGAGCACCTGGATTGGCCTTTGCTGCTGGCGCTGTTGATGAGGTAGCTGGAGAAGGTGGAATTGGTTCCTGCTTGTTGTTGGAGACCTGGTTCACCATATGAGGACAGTCACGGCTCCAATGACCAAACTCGTAGCAGTTTGAACACTGTCCATAGGCTATTTTGCCTCTTCCTCCTCCTTTCTTTCCTTTGGCTCCTCCTTTCTGATTCTGATTGCCTTTCTTCCCTTTGGACTTTCCTTTTGTCTTTCCTTTGCCCTTGCCTTTGTTGGCACGTCCACGACCACGACCTCGGCCAAATGCCCAGCTGCTAGCCCATTCACCTCCAAAAGACCCACGG